TCAGCTCATTTATGCTGGAATTCTTTGTTTAATTATAAGCGATTTTAGCAGCACAAATTTTCCTTTCAGTATAATTCTGTCCAAATAATGGGTTCAACCCACTGTGTTCTCATGTGTCTTATCAGAAATCCATAGTCTTGGCTTTTATTACCATTGTCACCTGAGGATTATTGAATGCTTAGAAGTTTCTGATGAACCTGATTTTCCCATCATCACTGTTATCTTTTTCTCTACTCTTTTGTATAATTGCATTTCAACTGCACTTCTGTGGGGGGGGGGGGCTGGGGTCCTGTGGAGGGAATGAGAGAGGAGAGCAAGCTCGGCCAGCACCACTCTAACCTCCTAAGATTCATTTGCCAAGAGAAACACAAAAGCATCCTCGCATAGCTGGGCAGTGGTGATGTACACCTTTTCACCCAGCACTCGGTTGGCAGAGGCAGGTGGATCTCTGTGAATTAGAGGCCAGCCTGGTCTACAGAGTGAGTTCCAGGAGAGCCAGGGCTGTTACATAGAGGAACCCTGTCTCAAAAAACAAAAATTAAAAACAGACAAAGCAAAAGCACCCTCACAATAAGTTGGAATAATGGTGAGTGTGGATGATGCCCAACCTTCCTCCACTTGGCTGTGTTTTAGAGTCGCAGCCTTCCCCCTGCAGCAGGTATTTGGCATTAGAGTTGTGACTTTGTAGCTTTTTCTCTTGACAGTGATATTATATAGCCAAAGAGATGAAAAAATACTTTTAAATGTCCCCGTTTTATTCTTTACCGATTTGGTACTGAGCTCCTGAGTCCTCTGGCTGTCCAAGGCTGTGAGTTTTTTCTTAATCTCCTTTCCTTACCTTGTTCCCTGAGCACAAATGGCTGCAGTATATACCTGACTCTTGGTAAGCAACGGGTGGATATTCTTACATGTAGTTCTGAGGGCTTTTTCCTGAGGCTTCTAATAAATGCTGAGATCTAAAGGACCCTCAGTTCATGCAAGGGTTACAGTTGCTGCTTCTACCTGTAATAAAAGTTGAGAACATGTGTAAGCAAGTACTGCTATTTTCAGAATAAGCAAACCCTATTTTTAGAACCTAAATCTGAAAAGAATTTTTATCAGCATAATACATGCACATTAATTTAAAAAATCACCAAGTACTGAAAGACTTATTGAAACCCTAATACTTCCTGCTTCTCCACTCACTGCCCTTTCCACTCCCTCCCTCCCTAGAGGCAACCCTTTAGGTTGGTGGTTTCTTTTTGGAGTTCTGGCCACAGTTACACCCCTGTGTGTTCCCTACAGTTCCTGTTCCACCTACTTCAGGTAGTGTATATGCATATTCAGTTTTCTAGATCCAGCCTCCACCTTCCTCCCAAACCCATCACAATAGCTCAGCCATTTTTGTTAAATGAGTAATCAGGGTCTTAAGGACTGTGTAAGCAGGCAGTACTGTACAATCAGGAGGTAAACCAGGAATACTCTGTGCTTTCTTGAGTAATTTTTTATCTGATCATTCCAATTCTCTCTCTTTTTTTTTTAAGTTCCAGAACAGTGAATTGGTTCAGCAAGTAAAGACATTCATCTGAGTTGATAACTTGAGTTCAATCCCAGAAACACATGTATTCTGTGGCATATGCATGCCCCTCACACACAAGTATAACAGTTCCCTTACTGAATTAGCCATCTAGTCCCTAGATTCATATGTAATCTTAAAGTTGTTCATTTTTATTACATATACATCCCTTGTGCCACAGATGTGCTACCAGGCAGGTCTTCTGCTGAGCTGGTCCCTGTGGAGCATTTGTTCTTAAGGCCTGCAGCTCTTCGGGAATCCTAGAATTCCTTTTACTGTTATTGAGTAGGACCCACTGACTCTTGTGTCCTGTGTCCTCTTTTATCTGGTCCATTCCTTTATTTTAGTAAAGGAAATTCTCATGTAGTTGTCAAATGCATCATGGTAAAATCTACTGAACTTCTTCATCTTAAAACAACTTATAAATTATTCTTGAGCCATCTGATCATAACCTGATTTCCTTTGTTGACATAGGCTGGAGCCATTGAGGGAAGTTAGGAAGATCCAGCCTTTCTGAGTGTGTGTGTAGATCCAGGGAGGATGACAGGCTGGCTGTATGAGGAGCACCCCACAGTCTGACACACTACTCAGACTGGTATTAGTTAGGCTGGTAGGTAGGCTGAATATGGCAGGGAACACCGGCAGTGACCCAGTTAGGACCAGAGAACTAGCGGTGTGGGCTCTTGGGGCCAGCATGTCTCAGCCTCAGTTTGAGTGAAGGCATCAGGATTTGTTTGACATCTGGATGAATGTAGATGATATGAAGAAGTCAGTGGGGTTCTAGATTGCATCAGTTAAGAAAAAATCGAGGTGTGTACATCCCTTTAAACCCAGTACTTGGGAGGCAGAGACAGGTTAATCTCTGTAAATGTGAGGCCAACCTGGTCTATGATGTGAATTCCAGGACAGGCAGGGCTGCACAGAAAAACCCTGTCCAAAAAAAAAAACCAAACAAACAAACAAAAACAAAAACAAAAAAACAAAAAACAGGGGGCTGGAGATATGGCTCAGTGGTTAAGAGCATTGCCTGCTCTTCCAAAGGTCCTGAGTTCAATTCTCGGCAACCACATGATGGCTCACAACCATCTGGAATGATGTCTGGTGCCCTCTTCTGGCCTGCAGACATACACACAGACAGAATATTGTATACATAATAAGTAAATAAATATTAAAAAAAACAAAAAACAAACAAACAAAAAAAACTTTATAACAAGGAAGATAGTCCCACTTAATACCAGCACTTGAGGGGTAGAGGTAGGTGGATCTCTGTGAGTTCGAAGCCAGCCTGTTTCATAGAGTGAGTTCCAAGACAGCCAGGGCTAGATAGTGAGTCGCTGTCACAAAAACAAAACAAGAAGAATCAAATGCTACCTCTCTACATGCCTTTTTTTCAGCATTAAAAATACTATGTAATTTATGTGCATGGGAGCTTTATCTGCATGTATGTGCACCACTTGCATGCCTAGTGGCCAGGGAGGCCAGAAGAAGGCATTGCAATCCCTTATGACTGGAGTTACAGATGGTTGTGAGTGGCCATATAGATGCTAGGAAACAAACCTGTGTCCTCTGCAATAATAGCAGCCAGTGTTCTGAACCATGGAGCCATCTCTTTCCAGCCCCAGTATGTAGCTCTTCTTGATGATACTTCTCTTGCTGATAGTTCACTTGCCATTCCTTGGGTTCTCAATTTCTATTCACCCACTTGCTGCGCTGCTATAAAATATGTCTGCTCAGCCTTTCCATAGAACACTGGGTCCCAAAGATATATGGACAAGTCACCTACTCCTAATAATGGTGAACCTGAGATACAGGCAGCACTCCCGGCTCCTTTATGTCTCTGGTTCACAGTCCAGCAGAGTTGTATGCATCAGTGCTTTTCCACACATCAGCAGTGGAGGACAGCATCATTTCCTGCCCACTGTTACTGTGATGAATAGCCAGAAGCAAGCCAGTTAAGCAGAGCTGCTCCTAGCATCTGTATAGTGTCCCTGCCCTTGTGCGTCTGATTGTTTCCATGGGAGCATAAAAGCTTGTTTCTCATTCCATCTGCTTCAGCGCTGGAGAAGCTGATGGGAATGACAATAGCCTCTACCTCTCCTATGATGTATACCTGCTGTCACTGCCCAAAATCAGTGGGCTCGCTCATGGCCGAATCATTATTGTCTCCAAAGACCAAGGAAGGAAGGATCTGATATAGCTATCCTCAAGCAGCCTGGGGCTCCCTCAGACACCAGGCACTACCTGAGAGTGGGATTTGCAGGCTGAGGTTCCAGGAGCTGCACTGCCTTCCCTGTTTCTCTGGTGCTGACAGCCGTTGTTCCACTTGTCTCTGCTGCACAGGGGCTGTTGGACACTGGCCTACTTCAGTCTGATGGACATGGCAGGTCTATTGGTCAAGGTCCTTACATGGACCATTGGAATCTCAAGACCAAGCTTGGCCAAGGACATATCAGGTCTAAGGCCTCTCTTCATTTATACTCTTGACCTTTAGCCATTAATCATTGACCTTCAACTTCAGAAACTGTAATTGGGAGAAATCCCCACTTAGTCTCATGCTGTGCCCCAACCACACATCCTGGTGGCCCTCCCCAACCCCTCTTTCCTCAAGGCCATCACATTTGAAGAGGCATCTTGCCATTTTTTTTTCATTTTTCAGTTTTATTTTTATCAAAACAAAATAATTTAACCATATAAAGAAGGGGGAACATTCATCAACCAGCATCTTGCCATTTCACAGCACTAGACTTTGGATCCAGTGTGAAGAATAGCTGCACTGTGAGTCCTCAGCATCAGGTTTCAGACTTCCAGAAGGTTCAGTGTACACACTGAGCCATCCTCTCTCCCAGGTTCACACACCAAGTGTGCAATGGCCACAGAGTTTGCCTCTCATCTCTGGTATGCTTGCTCACCCTGAGTCTCTTAGTCGGGTGCTGTGTAGATGACTGCTTATGGAAAAGAAGGTTCTTTGTGTGAGATGTGACCCAGGTTGTGGGGCAGTCTGGAGGAAAGCCCTGAGTTGCAGCACAGCCATGTCCTCACGGCATGTCCACGTGAGTCCTGCGGCAGTTGATAGCATCTCTCACCACGAGGCATTTTGTGGAAGAGACTGGCTAGAGCTTTGGAATAATCCTGCTGGGGACATGACCAGTTTACTTCATTCTCCGAGCCCTGTGCTGTTGTGAAGTATCTGTCCCCACAGAGATGAGTGCCGTGTGCGTATTGAAGGAGATAGCATCGAGTGGGGAGTGGACAGCATAGCTCCAGGGCACGTCTTCCGTGTGAGACTGGAAGAACGGAGACTGATGCTACCTTTGAAAGTCTTTACTTCCATCAGGGTTTGACATACTGTGGACACACATGCCCTTGGTTACAGCCCCATCTCCTGTCAGACTTTCTGATTTACTGCTTTTTCCCTCACAGATAGTATGATTTCTTTTCATTCCAGCTTTTGAATCGTAAAGACAAGACCACTTTTGAGAAACTGGACTACCTGATGTCAAAAGAAGACAATTACAAGCGAACTCGGGACTACATCCGAAGTCTGAAGATGGTGCCCAGTATTCCCTATCTAGGTATGAGTCTCTGTTGGCTTATTTTATTATTATTTCTCCAAGTGACATGTTCAGTGCCAAATAAGGTGTTTTTTCAGTTTCTAGTTGAGATGTTTCCAGGAGCAGTGGGGATCATGGGTAAAGGTTCCTTGGGTTGGAACAGTCTATTGATGCTTTCCAGGATAGGAACACTGGTGAGCTGGAAACAAGGATGCTCTCTACATACACCTAGGCTCTGATGACCCCAGTCTCCTGGGCTGTGAGGAACACGGGCTTCCAGGCTGCAGCCCAGATGGATCATGATGTCCACAGCAAGCCTCTTGCTGGTTTACGCAGATCCTCCCACACAGGGGGAACCCAGGCTGAAGCCCTCTGTTCTAGTTTTCTGAGCCTTATTAATATGTCTCATAACATTTGTGCAAATGAAATTCTAGTAACAACTGCTAAGTTTTCCAATCATAAAATATTATGTGCTCGTTAGCAGAATTGGGAGGAGAGAAAGTCTCTATAATTATCCATTAAAAGATATTTTTCTCTGTATCTCACTCTTTTTGGCATGTGTAAAAAAAAATCTGTACTCATCTCAGACACCTCATGTTGTATGTGCTTTTCTGTCCTGCGGCTCGTCCCTTCTCCTGGAGTTGTCAAACTCCGTTCCGTCTTCTCTGCTGCCCACTGCTCAGTTTGTAGTTTTTGTGCCATAAACTGACTTGTGCATTTGCTCTGATTGTTGCTGTGTAATACCTTCTTGGAAGGGTAGGTACAAAGTACACCGCAAAGGTTGTTTTTAAACAAGGTCTTAATGCTGCTGCTGCTGCTTCTTTCGTTGCCCTCCTCTCCTTCTTCCTCCTTCTTTCTTCTTGTTCTTGTTCTTTTTGATTTTTCAAGGCAGGGTCTCTCTGTAGCCCTGGCTGTACTGGAACTCTGTAGACCAGGCTGGCTTCAAACTCAGAGATCCACCTACCTCTTCCTCTGAGTGCCTCCCGGATTAAAGGTGTATGCCACATGCCAGGCAGGCATTTTCTTTTCAAGTCTATTTTTCTTTTCTTTTTATTGTGTCAGTTTAATACGTGAAAAAATGTGTCTGTAGTTTGGTCTTCAAGGGGAAATCTATCCTATTCTAATCGGAAACAATTTTGAAAACCAGGAAAGGAAAGGCTTCTCTAGAGGAGACTCCTGATACCCAGGGTTAGTAGAGTCCTTACATAGATTGTTGGAAACTTCTCCTGTTAGCATTCTGTACTTGGGCTTTCTGATTCTCTGAAGCCATCTTACAGTTTGTTTGTTTGTTTTTTTAAAGTAGGAAACTATCTATTTGATCCAACCTTTCAAAATTATTAGCAACGGCGCCAAAATAGCTCAGTTGGGAGAGCGTTAGACTGAAAATTATTAGCATGGTGGTTTTTTTTTTTCAGTTAATTTTTGATTGTAATGTGGTATACAATTTTCTCTTACAAATATGAACTTTTCTCTCTATGTGGTTATATTTATTTAATTTTTGAAACAAGGTCTATGTAGTCCTGAGTGTCCTGAAACTCACTGTGTATACTAGGCTGTCTGCAAACTCAGAGATCCAAATGCCTCTGCCCCCTGAGTATTGGGATTACAGATGTATTTGCTTTTCGTTGCCCCTTCCCTCCTCTTCTTGTCTCTTCTTTCCTCAAGTTCACCCTGTCAAAGTTTGTCTGTTGGTCTTCCCAAACAATTAAATTTTAGATTTTGGATTTTTAAAAGTCAGTCATGCTATCTTTATGCTTTGGAATTTACTGCATTTTCTTAATTTAGGGTGTGTTTTATCTTTCTACATTTTAACTCCTCTGAAATTGATGATAAAACATTGTAATGTTTTTAATTGGCAATGATTTTCTTAGTAATACATAAAGATATGCCTTACAATCAGTGACGTTCTGATTTGATGGAGTAAGGATATATATAAATATATATAAAAAGAATATATATGTATGTATGATGTATGTATGTATGTATTTATGTATGTATGTATATCTCATAACTCTTTGACCATGGTTTGGAGTGAGTATTTTAAACTGCCTACCTGACTTTGTCCAGTATGAGAGGCCTTGCTTCTCTCTCTCTCTCTCTCTCTCTCTCTCTCTCTCTTTCTCTCTCTCTCTCTCTCTTTGGCCTGTACAAGTATCTTTATTCTCAGGTGACATGACCTTATCAAGTAGATTTCAAAAAACAAAGTTGTATGAAATAAATTAAACAAAGCTTCAGGACATGGGATATATACAGAAAGAGCATTGTGCTTTCACGGACTAACAGTGAGTAATCTACAAAGCAAACTAAGAATTCTAGTTTTAAAAAGTACAAAAATAATAACATGTTTTAAAACACAGTTTGCTAAATAGGTAAAAGACATGTATACTGGAAATTATCAAATACTCTTGATCTCTTTCTCTTTTGTTCCCCGTGTGTAATTCTCTCCTTTCTCCACTCTATTCTGGCTTTCTATAAGCTGTCTTGTGTCTGTATTTGGCGGCTGTCCCAAGAGGGACAGCATGCTCATGTGCATAGCTCCTGCAACTGGCCCCACTTTGCAGGACTGTCATCTAGGAGCAGAATTGGTGGCACAAAGGTGGGGAGCACCGCTGCCATGTGACTCAGGCAGAGCGGGTGCTGGTGTGGTTAAGAATGGCGCTCCTTCTTTCCCCAGCTCTCTCGTTTTGTTTTGTTTTGTTTTGTTTTTTCTGAGATGTGCTTACAGATATTTTAGGCTGGCCTTGAAGTCACTGTGTAGCCAAGGATGGTCTTGAACCCCTGCTCCATCTCACAAGGCCCATTTTTCTCTCAAAGTCATTGTGAGAGCTATTGTGTGTCGCTGGCCTCTGTGTCTTGCCCTTTGCTGGCCCTTTGACTGTTATCTCACCACATGATCCCAATAGCCAAGGCACCATGGTTGTCGGGGTCATGACTGGAAGGTGGTGGAGTCAGGGCTGGGTGCACGTGGAAGCCCATAGCTCCGAGATCTTGACACTGCCGCTTACCATATCTCTACTGTTGAGGTAATTATTTTCCTACCCATCCCGTAACAGGATACCTGTTGCTGTTGAGTCTCTGGTTTGGAGCGTGGTGTGTGACGTAGATGAATTGTTCTGTTCTTCCTGTGACACATCTTGTTGCTGGGGTTTTCTAGTCAGCCTCTTCTGGTCACTATCCCTTTCTACTTGACAAATCTGGACAGATGTGGCCGTCCTTGCTCCGGATGACCTTTCTCTAGCAGAGGTTTCACAGAGGCTCCCTGAGTCCTCTGCTTGCCTATACAGCGTGTCTGCTCTGGCGCTGAGTGAACCCTTCAAGTGGCCATGTTGTTGCCCCTTCAGCCTTCAGAAGGCTGCAGTCCCCATGACACAGTTAAACTGTACACCTCATCATGACACAGAGCAACCATAGCAAAAACTGGGCCTACTGCTTCCTGCTCTCAGGACAGAGACTGACCATGGGCATTTGGTCATGTGCAGAAGAGAACATGAAACATGACCTACTGAGGCTCAGTGGATCCATCTGCCCTGATAAGGCTGGGGGCTCCATCTGCTGTCTGACGACCATGGCAGGCCCTGCCTATTGGATCCTCTCGAAAAGCCAACCTGTGTGGGGTGGATGTGTTTATCTAAATGGAAGCAGTTACGTAATTCCTGGAAAGGACAGCACAGGAAAAAATGTCAAAGCCATTTGTTTCTCCTCTGGAAGAGTCTCGTTGCAGGTCTCTTCTGGAAGGGGGAGGGGGCGCTTGGCCAGTCCCTGATGCTCCAGGTTCCACTGATGACGCCTGCTCTCTGCTGCTGCAGGTGCCAGCCTCTATCTACATGGCTACATCTCCTTTTATAACAGTGGTAACCCTGTGCCTGGTACTCCTCACAGCTGTATCTGTTCCGTGTCCCTGAAGATGGCATCACTGGTCTTCACCGTTGTTCCTAACTTAACCCTGCTCTCTTGCTCCAGACTTCAGAGACAACTGGCTATACTTTCCTATCCCAAGTACCCTATAAAGCATGATTTAAAAACCATGGAGGGGCCAGGCAGGGGTGGCACATGCATGCCTTTAATCCCAGCACTCTAGAGGCAGAGTCTGGTGGATCTCTGTGAGTTCAAGACCAGCCTGGTCTATGAGAGTTAGTTCCAGGACAGCGAGAGCTACAGAGAAACACTGTCTCAAAAAAACCAACAAAACCAACAAAAAATTTTAAAAAAATTAAAAAAAAACCAACACGGAGGGGCTGGGCAGGGGTGGTACTTGGGAGGCAGAGGCAGGCAGATTTCTGTGAGTTCAAGGCCAGCCTGGTCTACAGAGCAAGTTCCAGGACAGGCTCCAAAGCCTGTCTTGAAAAACAAAAAGCAAAAAAAAAAAAAAAAAAAAAAAAAACCACTGGGAGACTGGAATGGTAGCTCAGTGGTTAAGAGCACTGGGTGCTTTTCCAGAGAATGAAGATTTGATTCCCAGCACCCACATAGCAGCTCACAACCATCTGTAACTCCAGCTCCAGGGACCCAGTTTTCTCTTCTGGCCTCTGAGGCTTCCAGACACAAACATAGTGCAGAAACATATAGGCAGCAAAACACCTTTACACATAAAATAAATTTTAAAAAATTAAACATTCAGAGAAAAACATTATATTAAAATAAAAGGGTCAGGGCTGGAGAGATGGATCAGCAATTAAGAACACTGGCTGCTCTTCTAGAGGTCCTAAGTTCAATTCCCAAGAACCACATGGTGGCTCACAACCATCTATAGTGGGATCTGATACTCTCTTCTGGCATAAAACTGTACATACAGAGCATCATATACATTAAATAAATAAATAAATCTTTAAAAAACAGAAAACAAACAAAAAACCAAGACTTTGAATTAGTTTCTTCCAAACTATGAAGTAGTACAGGGGCTAGGCTGATTGTTTGTCTCTAAGTTAGTGTGACAGCACTTCCCCTAAGCACCCGGTTCTCAGGAGGTGTGGGAAAGAGCGCAGGAGAATGGCTTTACCACTTACTTCTGAGTCACTGCCCTG